CACCCTACCCCACTGATCATAATTTAGACATTTTGAAATCTACACTACCCCATGATCCTTCCATGGGCACATATGTTTCAGCTTTTTTTGGCCCAGTGGTTCCTGAGAAGATTTTCAAAGATTTTTCCTATATATTTCTATGTAAAATTTTGATTCCCTATATTGGCCCCGCCCTTCCCCCGGGGGTCATGATTCCTACAATTTAGAATTTACACTACCCCAGAATGCTTCCACATAAGCTTCACTTTTTCTGGCCCAGTGGTTCTTGAGAAGAAGATTTTCAAAAATTTTTCCTATATATTTCTATATAAAACTTTGATTCCCTATTGTGGCCCCGCCCTTCCCCCGGGGGTCATTATTTGAACAATTTAGAATCTACATTATACCAGGATGCTTCCACATAAGTTTCAGCTTTTCTGGCCCAGTGGTTCTTCAGAAGAAGATTTTCAAAGATTTTTCCAATATATTTCTATGTAAAACTTTGATACCCCAATGTGGCCCCGCCCTTCCCCCGGGGGTCATGATGTGAACAATTTAGAATCTACACTATACCAGGATGCTTCCACATAAGTTTCAGCTTTTCTGGCCCAGTGGTTCTTGAGAAGAAGATTTTCAAAGATTTTTCCTATATATTTCTATATAAAACTTTGATTCCCCATTGTGGCCCCGCCCTTCCCCCGGGGGTCATGATTTGAACAATTTAGAATCTACATTATACCAGGATGCTTCCACATAAGTTTCAGCTTTTCTGGCCCAGTGGTTCTTCAGAAGAAGATTTTCAAAGATTTTTCGTATATATTTCTATGTAAAACTTTGATTCCCCATTGTGGCCCCGCCCTTCCCCCGGGGGTCATGATGTGAACAATTTAGAATCTACACTATACCAGGATGCTTCCATATAAGTTTCAGCCTTTCTGGCCCAGTGGTTCTTGAGAAGAAGATTTTCAAAGATTTTTCCTATATATTTCTATGTAACACTTTGATTCCCTATATTGGCCCCGCCCTTCCCCTGGGGGTCATTATTTGAACAATTTAGAATCTACATTATACCAGGATGCTTTCACATAAGTTTCAGCTTTTCTGGCCCAGTGGTTCTTGAGAAGAAGATTTTCAAAGATTTTTCCTATATATTTCCATGTAAAACTTTGATTCCCCATTGTGGCCCCGCCCTTCCCCCGGGGGTCATGATGTAAACAATTTAGAATCTACACTATACCAGGATGCTTCCATATAAGTTTCAGCCTTTCTGGTCCAGTGGTTCTTGAGAAGAAGATTTTCAAAGATTTTTCCTATATATTTCTATGTAAAACTTTGATTCCCTATATTGGCCCCGCCCTTCCCCTGGGGGTCATTATTTGAACAATTTAGAATCTACATTATACCAGGATGCTTCCACATAAGTTTCAGCTTTTCTGGCCCAGTGGTTCTTGAGAAGAAGATTTTCAAAGATTTTTCCAATATATTTCTATGTAAAACTTTGATACCCCAATGTGGCCCCGCCCTTCCCCCGGGGGTCATGATGTGAACAATTTAGAATCTACACTATACCAGGATGCTTCCACATAAGTTTCAGCTTTTCTGGCCCAGTGGTTCTTGAGAAGAAGATTTTCAAAGATTTTTCCTATATATTTCTATATAAAACTTTGATTCCCCATTGTGGGCCCGCCCTTCCCCTGGGGGTCATTATTTGAACAATTTAGAATCTACATTATACCAGGATGCTTCCACATAAGTTTCAGCTTTTCTGGCCCAGTGGTTCTTGAGAAGAAGATTTTCAAAGATTTTTCCTATATATTTCCATGTAAAACTTTGATTCCCCATTGTGGCCCCGCCCTTCCCCCGGGGGTCATGATGTGAACAATTTAGAATCTACACTATACCAGGATGCTTCCACATAAGTTTCAGCCTTTCTGGCCCAATGGTTCTTGACTGAGAAGAAGATTTTCAAAGATTTTTCCTATATATTTCTATATAAAACTTTGATTCCCTATTGTGGCCCCGCCCTTCCCCCGGGGGTCATGATTTGAACAATTTAGAATCTACACTATACCAGGATGCTTCCACATAAGTTTCAGCCTTTCTGGCCCAATGGTTCTTGACTGAGAAGAAGATTTTCAAAGATTTTTCCTATATATTTCTATATAAAACTTTGATTCCCTATTGTGGCCCCGCCCTTCCCCCGGGGGTCATGATTTGAACAATTTAGAATCTACACTACCCCAGGATGCTTCCACATAAGTTTCAGCTTTTCTGGCCCAGTGGTTCTTGAGAAGAAGATTTTTTAATGACCCAACCCTATTTTTGTCTTTTCTTGATTATCTCCCCTTGCGAGGGGATATGTCCCTTCATTTTAACAATTTAAATTCCCCTTCACCCAAGGATGCTTTGTACCAAGTTTGATCAAAATTGGCCCAGTGGTTCTTGTGAAGAAGTCGAAAATGTGAAAAGTTTACAGACGGACAGACAGACGGACGGACGACGGACAAAATGTGATCAGAAAAGCTCACTTGAGCCTTCGGCTCAGGTGAGCTAAAAATCATAAAACTATAAATGTCACCTTTTATCATATATATTTCGCGCACGCATGTCCTTGCATTCACATTTGATAGTAGCAAAACGAAGGAATCCATTATACCTATTCATATTCTGAATTTCATCCCGTTTTGTTAAGAACTTAGAAAGTTATAGACATTTAAAGTTTCAGCCAATCAGATTGCAGCACACGTGCATGCACATGCTTTCATGATAATTCTAATACCGTATAGCGGGTTATTTTAGCGGGGTGCTAATTTTGGCTTATTTTGGCGTTTTGATGATAGTCCGCTAAAATTTTAATCGCTTAAATAGTCAGTACTTTTCTTAGTGTATATTTGCAAAGAGAAAAACACTGCGTCCGCTAAAATAAATTACGCCAACATTATTGGCATACATTTGAGTAGGCAAAACGCCAAATTTTACACCCGCCAAGAAAACCCGCTATACGGTATATCATGTTGTAGATCTTCATAGTGTATGAATATGTTCAAATTTCAAAGGATTTTGTCAAAAAACAAGAAAGATATTGAGACTTTAGTTTCAGCCAATCAGAGCGAAGCGCACGTGCATGCTCGCGAGATCTTGCTATTTTGACCATGTCATCATGTCTATATCACATTCTGAGTTTCAAAGCATTTCATCAAAAAATAGAAAAGCTACGGCAATATCTATTATATTAGTCATTTCACGTGTTGCACGTGTGATCCCATCATGACAGTATAGAAAGTGGATCGAGCCCATCTTGGATTCGAACGAACCTACCGAGCAATTCAGCTGAAATATTTCTGGCCTGGCATGTACCAAAATGTTGCTGACGTCTCGTCTTATTTTACAGGTTCAAGCTTTAATTTATCACCGAATAACACAGTGATATATTTTTCATTTCGTCTAGGCGATGTTCACGTCTGATCTTAATTGTCCCCCCCCCCCCACATTTTAATGGTATTAATGTCTGGTGATTAACTATGACAGGGAAGTGTGGGGATGTTGTTTGACGTTTTCCATTCAGCCGGGCTTGTGCAGTAGAAAATTTCCTCTTGCACAATCCAGAGATTTGCAGGAAACTCCTTGGCCACAGATGATCATCTAGGACCGAAAAATATTTCTCAGAGTTCATATTTCCTTTTTTATTCAGCCAAAGTTCCAACACCATTAGAAGATAAACATCCTCAGCCGATATGCCGGAGTGGGGCGAATGACTACTATACTGTCCAAGACAATCGGGCCGAAATATTTCTCCACGTTTTCTCCAAACGTATTTGTTTTTTTTTCCTGTCCTCTCCTAAGACAACATTCATGCAATCACTAAAAATGACCTGACTCGTTTCCTCTACTGTACACCCTAATTCGGATCGACACCACAAAACACGGTTTTGACGATTTGGTTTCGAGATTATAATTTTCTTTGAAACTGAGCATCTTTGATAGTTCTGTATTTTTTATCTCCCTCTTACAGTTCTATAAGACACTTTCGCTAAATTGATCTGATAAACCTGAAAAGTGGGTCGGCGATTTGTCTTTACCACCATTGACAAGACGCGATCACCTCTTTCACCCAATCATTTTATTCTCGGTCTCAGCGTTTTCCACTGAACCCCTTTCAGTATTTCTTAAACTTCTCTATGAAATTTGGACTTATTCTGATGATTTCCGACTACCTAAACCCCTCTCATTTAATTTAATAATCGTCTGCTTTTGTGAACTGAAAGGTCTTTGCCCCTCCAAAGCCATTTTAATTTACGTATGTTTTAGTACTAAAAATAAATCTATGACACTTTATATTCGTATGATATGACGCTCATCTATGAGTGTCTGTAGTTGTCACTTTCTTTATACTTTAAAAAATCGATAAAATGTAGAGAAAAATACATCGTATGTTAATTTTCATTTTAACGGCGGCCATTTTGCCTTCTATATTAGCCAGGTACTGTACCTACCTACCTACCTACCTAGTCCTTGCTGCACCCGGAGGCACATAGGGCAAGGACTAGGGATTTCCATTCCTCTCTGTTCTTAGCTATCTTCTCTGCCTCTCCCCAGGTAAGATTTATCACCTTTAGCTCTTTCTCTACAGTTCGCCGCCACGTTGTTTATGGTCGGCCTTTCCTCCTCTTCCCTTCTGGAGTCCATCTAAGTGCCACTCTTGTGATGTCATCTGTGGGCTCTTTAAGACATGGCCTATCCACCTCCATCTGTATTTCACTAGTAAAGTCCTCATGTCTGTTGTTTTAGTTGTTTCATACAAATTTTTGTTGGTTATTTTTGCTGGCCAAAATATCCTCAAGATCTTTCTGAGGCACCCATTATGAAAACTTGATAGTTTCTTAATGTCACTTTCAGTCATCCTCCAGGATTCAGCACCATACATTAGAACAGATAGGACACAGCTATTATACAGTTTGATCTTAGTATGTCTGCTAATACTGCTTGACTTCCATGGATATGTTCTTAAGCTTGACAAAGGCTCATCTGGCTTTACCTAATCTTGATATTATGTCCTTGTCAGCTCCGCCATCTGATGTTACCACACTTCCCAGGTATGTAAAATACTCTGTATTTTTGATATCTCCTCCATTCAATTGTATTTTGGGTGGGCTTTTTGTATTTAGGGACATTACTTCTGTTTTCTTTATATTGATGTTCAATTCGATTTTGCTGGCATTTATTTGTAAATAAGATGTTTTTCTTTGCATTTGTGTTTCCAGATGAGATAATAAAGCCAGGTCATCTGCATAATCTAAGTCCTCTAGTTTGTTGAAAAAAGTCCATCTGATGCCCGTATTCTCATCACTAAGGGTTGATCTCATTACCCAGTCTACTGCTATGATGAACAATAGAGCCGACATCACACATCCTTGTCTCACTCCTGACTTAACAAGAAAGCTTGTGTTTGATGATCTACCAACAGAGCATTTAAATTCTGCATAAAATGCTTTTATTAGGTCAACTCGTTTAGATGGTATACCGTAGTGCCTCAGGATTTTCCACAAACTGTGTCTATGAATGCTATCAAAAGCTTTTTCGAAGTCAATGAAGTTTATGTAATTATGATGAGTTGTCTTTGTCACTCTGTGCACTGTTCTATTATGTTTCTTAGTACAAATACTTGGTCACAGCAGCTCTTTCCTTTTCTGAAGCCTGCCTGTTCTTTCCTTAGCTTTTTATCCGCTGCTAGCTGTCTTTATTCTGCTTACAATTATTTTACTAAATATCTTGCTTGGTATAGAGAGTAAAGTAATACCTCTCCAGTTGTTACAGTTTGTGAGGTCTCCTTTCTTTGGTAGTTTGATGATGCTACCTTCAGACCTTGTTGCTGGTATCATGTTGTACCTCCATATCTTGCAGAAAAGAGGATGAAGGATATCTGCTGCAAGGATAGGGTCTGTTTTGAATATTTCAGCTGGTAGGTTGTCATTCCCAGGTGCTTTATTGTTCTTTAAACTCTTGATTGCTGTGATTATTTCTAATTTTGATGGTTCATTTATGTTGATATCTAAGTCAATGTTTGCTTCGGGTATTTCTGCTCTGTTGCTTGGATCTGGGCGGTTTAGTATCTTATTATCTCTTCAAAGTGCTCCTTCCATCTTTGTTCTTGGTCTTTCTCAGATGTAATCATTGCGCCCTGCTTGTCTCTTACTGGCATACATGCATTTCTTCTTTGTCCGCTAAGCTTCTTGGTGATCTGATAAACATCGCCCATTCTCTGTTCTGATGCTGCTTTTTCAGCTTCTTGTGCCATATTTTCAATGAAGTTCTTACGGTCCCTCTTTATGGCCTTCTTTATTTCTTTGTTACTGTCAGAGTATTGTTCTCTTAATTTCTCTTTTATTCATTCTGAGTGTGTGTTGCACAACCTTTTCTTTAGTTCTTTTCTGCTGTCAATGAGTTTCCATGCACCTGTTGTTATCCATTCTTTGTGTACCTGTTTTCTGAAGCCAATAACTTTTTCGCTTGCATTGTTTAATGTATCTTTTACTTTCAGCCAGTGTTCGTCTATCTGCTCTTCGTCTATATCACTACTTTGCAAGATAGAAAATCTGTTTTTCAGCTCTAATCTAAAATCTTGCTTGGTTTTTGTATTTTTGTTTTTGTTTGCCAACATCGAATCTTTTCCAGCTGTACTTGGGTATAGTTTTCATCAGTTTAAGTTTAAAATCTGCAGTTACAAGGTGATGATCACTGCCTACATCTGCACCTCGTCTTACTCTCACATCCTGAAGAGATCGTCTCCATTTACCATTTATAACAATATGGTCTATCTGATTTTTGTCTCTTCCTCCGGGTGATATCCATGTGAGCTTGTGTATGTCCTTGTGTGGGAATAACGTCCCACCTATAACCAAGTTGTTGGTACCACAAATGCCAGATGTTCACCATTCTCATTCATGGTACCACAGCCATATTTTCCCATGACTCTTTCATATCCGGTGTTGTCTTGGCCTATTTTTGCATTAAAATCTCCCATGATGATGGCCAGATACTGTATGTTTCAAAAATGATACAAATAACCTGCTTTCATTAAAAAAAAGGAGTAAAGTTTAATAAAAAGTTATCGGAGTAACTTTGTATTATTGAATAGTTTTTTTTTTTCAATCAACGTAGTTATGTTTTGTTGGTTTGTTTGTATGAAGTTTAACGTCCCTCTTGAAATTTTCATTCACAACGGGACGCCACCACTTGCCGGTGAAGATCTGCAAATTTTGTCCTATACTTGGCTCTTACGACCTTTGAATTTGAGCAGTGAAGGACTTTTTTTCGTGCCAGCACCTCATACGGCACGGAACTCGGTTTATAGGTCTCATCCGAAGGACTGGTCTCCACGTCCCACAGTGGGATTCGTACTTGCGATGTAAGGATCAATTCCTTCGCTTCTCTAGAGCAGACGCTCTAACCACTGAGCTATGTTTGGTAAAAATGTAACACCTGTTTATAACTCTTCATGACGGACCCTGTTTTTCTTATTTTCTTTCCGTCTGATTTCCGTAAATTAGGGAATAACTATCTCCTAATTTGGTATTTGCGACCGTTAATGCTGATTTAACGGTCGCAAACTGAGTTTTACCGGCGACGCGTAAGCGGAGCCGGTAAAACGGATGTTTGCGACCGTTAAATCAGCATTAACGGTCGCAAATACCAAATTAGAAGATCAGTTATTCCCATTCTAATGCAATCCATGCAATCCATGTTGTTTACTTCTTATTTTGATGAATTTTGTTACATGAAATACGTCATGGAGCATTGTGTTTTTGCGTCGCTCTATTATGACGTCACAATGAAAAAGCTTTCAAGCTCGTTAATGCTCGTTTTACTGCTTCAAACATCAGTGCATTAGCCAATGAAAAAGTGTTTTACAAAACAATTGCATTAGAATGCATCGTTACCTTGAAATGTATTTCTGGCGCATGATTTATCCGATTTTAACGAAATCTAATCATTTTTTTCCTATATAATGTGATGATAGCTATCAACTTTTAATTAAGTTAATGATATTTCCTTGGAAACCTGAAATTGAATTTCCCGTTCTTGAAAAATCATCAAGCTTCCCTCTATATTTGTATGTATCCTTTACAAATATATACAGTGTGCTACTTCTAAGTACATAAATATTTACTGACTTCTGAAAAAAAGATGAACTCTATCTCATTCTTTTCTACAAATTGAGAGTCGCCCGCGTGGCGCAGTGGTTAGAGTGTCTGCTAGATAGAGTCGCAAAGTAAAGAGTTGATCCTTACGTCGTGGGTTCGAATCCCACCGTAGGACGTAGAGATTGGTCCTTCGGAGGAGACCGTATTTGTAAACTGAGGTCCCGTGTCGCAGTAGGTGCTGGCACGAAAAAGATCCCTCCCTGCTCAATGGCTCCGAGTGCCGAAAATGACAAAGTTTCCAGCTCTCCACTGGCAAGTGGTGGCGTCTCCATATGAGTGAAACATTATCGAAAGTGACGTTAAACATTATACAAATAAATAAAAATCTACCAAATTGAGACCCACCCAATCCCCTCCAATATTTCATACCACACGCAAACTAAAATAGAAATTAAAACGAGAATGTTAAGAACACAAACGCACGTCATTGAGTCTTAACTTGAAGAGACAGTCTCAAGAAAGACACGTTTGTTTTTATCCGATAGTTTAAGAATATAATATGGAATGGAGGACTAAGTTCGTTAAAGGGGAAATCTTAAGAGGAATCCTACACTTTCAATGATGAAAAGTTAACTAGATTTACAAGAACAATTTCAACCATTCGAGACCAACGTGAAGTTTTTTTAACATATGCAAAGAAAAAAGGCCAAGACTACTACTTCACAGCACGGTTAACATAAGATTCTTATCCTTGGACTTTGGTATCAGAGTAGTTCATGTCTACATGTCTAGCTAGTTCCTAAATTGTAGTAGAGATGTAGATTTTAATATTAAGTTATTTATTAAATGGTAATAGATGAAATCAATTAAGGTAATCAATAAAAGCAAAAAAAAAATTCCATTACTTATGTGGTATTATTATAAGTTATTATCCGTCCCGTCAGATCTATACAATTAAAACATTCATCTACAACATAACACTCGGATATAACATCAAATAAAAATTTACCTTTCAAAATGAATTTCAAAACGTGAATCCCTTCAAGATGAATCGGATTTGATCATGAAGAGGAAATATAATTTTAGTTAGATTATAACAGGCACGTAGCATCGTTTTTGAAAGTGGGGGGGGGGCCAACCTGAGAAAATTTTTTTTTTACTCACCTGAAAAAGTTGACAAGCAAAAAAAAAAAAAAAAAAAACCAAATATTAAAAGAAGTTGCCCAAAGTCGAAAATCCTATTTCCTGGGGGGGGGGGGGGGGGGGGGGGGGGGGGGGGGGGGGGTAGTGGCTAACTTTTTTCAAGACCAACTATCTTTCAATTCAAACTTTTTGGGGTAAATTTTCTTTATAACACTACACTGTGCTGAAATGTGGGGGGGCCAACCTTCCTTTCAGTATACATTTTCTATAGTAAAGGTAATGTCGGGAGAAAAAGTGGGGGGGTGGGGCCTGGCCCCCCCTGATACTACGTGTTTGTATAAGAAGTAAATCTAAAAGATCGAGTCAAAGCCTGTTTTGTTCAAAGAATGACTACTATTCCAAGAAAGATAATTCGTACACCTTTTGTAAACCGAAGGAGACTATCGGATTGGAGACTTCAATCCACTTTCAGCATTAAATGATATTTCCTTGTTTGGTTCGTTAATGTTAATGGTTCAACAAGTAAGAAAGTAAAATGTTCTTCTTAATTAAACCAATTTTTTATTTTATAATTTTTAGTTTATCATAATGTAAACATACATGTACTTTATCTGGATCGTAACAATTTGAAACAAACTATATCAATCTGATTCAGGTATCATTGGTGAGGACCATATGGAAACAAATTTTTTCTTCGAAGTGTCTGTCCAGAGATCCACCATTTGTACCATAGTTAGGCGTGATTTCTTTTGTTAAAAGTGTGGGTTTTCTGTACATAACCCACACTTTATAACTCCGCCCATCGAGTCGAGACAAAAAAATTACATGTATTTATAAAACGTTTTCAATGAAACAATCATACGGGCTTGTTATACCAAATTCAGGAGAGTAAAAAAGAGTAAAAATTATCAATTGTATACGACATTTTGTAATAAATAACAATTAAAACGGCCATTAATAGTTTAACTTTTGTTAAAAAATGAAGGGAAAAAAACTTCATAAATCGCTTGATTTTTTAAACATTTTTTTTAAATAGTGTAATGCGCAGAGTGTCGTAAGCTTAGTAAATTCTAATGTGGGTCATTCTACGGATAGAGGCCCAAACGAACTTTCCAAAAGTCAGAATTCATATACCCTATTTTATTCAATTTTTCTGCCTTATTTACTAAATCTAACTTAGAGGAAACCATTTCAACATGCAGCAGCAATGCTTAAATTATTTTATTGCTTATTTTGAGACTTACACATAGATACATGAAAAAAAATTGTCATTACCGCAACAGACGACTAAATCGTCATAAAATATTGTTACAGTATTAAACCAATTCTTTCACAGTTTGAAGTAATAAATCTTAGTAATATCTTACCTTCATGATTATTTGAGTGAAATATTCGCACATTATTTTTCGTACTGTGGTGTTAAATTTACGTTTTTAAAAAATGCAAAAAAAAAAACATTGGTCAATAAACCACTTGAGGAGTGTATATGATTATTTTACTTCCATTTTTCTACGGTGTAAGATTTCACGGACTCATGCATGTTGATTAAACACTTTATTTCTTTTATTATTAGATTAATTGATAATTAATTGACC